AATTCGTCTTACATATCTTTTCATTTTATTGTTCCCATATTTTATTTTTCTGACAATAAACTGTTGTAGAGAAGTGCCTTTTCAAATCTTTCATGTTCAATTAACGAAGCTAAATGATATTTGAACGAATTGTTTTTGACATCTATGCATGGCCTCTTCATATGTTTTTTAAAACTTTCATCTTTGATGTTTTGCATTGACTTTTTTCTTTCCATTTCTTTGCTTCCTTATTCGCTTCTTTTCTCTAGTATTTATTATTCATGTGTTCCTGATTCAGTAAACAGTAGATTGTATATATTGCACGACCATCGTTTTACACAGCTAAAAATTTCATTTTCAGTTTTCAAAATTAACAATGGCAGGAATGAACGTCTGGCTTTTTTATCCAAATCTGATTGGCTATCTACGCATTCTCCTAGCTTTGGTATCATGTGAGGCTATGACCTATGCACCATGGCGTGCGGCTATTTGTTACATTCTAAGCGCTGCTTCAGATGCTGTTGATGGATATGTGGCGCGGCTGTATAATCAGTGTTTGTTAAATCTTTTTGTAAATAAGTCAAGTTTCCTAATAAACTGAAACCCCTTGAGAGTATTAAAATTGAATATTTTACATTATGCATAATTCGAAATGTAGTTTTTCCAAACCTGGACCGGTTTTGCTGGAAGTGTACTTTATTAAGAAAGTTTGTGTCTAGACTAGTTTTTTAGTTTATGTAAGAATAATTTCATTTCTTATTCCACTTTAGCATCACGTTTTGGCGCTATGCTGGACATGTTAACAGACCGTTGTGCCCTCATGGCATTGGTAATATGTTGCGGATGTTTCTATCCTGATTACTTGTTTTATTTCCAAATGTCAGCCGTGGTTGATATTGCTTCGCATTGGCTTCATTTTCATGCTAGCGATGTGACGGGTAAAATGACTCACAAAGTATGTTTTAAGTAGCGAATACGATTCAGAGCTAGCATATGTTGTATTTAAATCATGTGTTGGAAGATGCATTGTGTTTGATTTAAATTATCATTCATTCATCAAACCATTTCGCTAACATTTTTTGAGAGTACGACTTAATATGAAAGGTGATGGAGAATATTCTTTTTATGAAAGAATCATAGGTGAGAAAAAGAGATAGAGACATGTTTGAAGGATTTTCTACATAATATTGAAATCAAAATTAGTTTTTATTTCCAGCAATCTTCAAATACAGTTTTGCATCTCTACTATACATCTCGATTGTTCTTGTTTGTGATGTGTCTGGGAAACGAGACGTTCTATAGTTTGGTATATATCAGTCATTTCTGGTCTGGTCCAGGTGTTCATGGTTTTCATCTTATTCCATTCCTAACGGCACTTTTTTTCCCATTTGCGTTGCTAAAATCGATGATTAGCTTACTTCATCTTATCATTGCCGCACAAACATTAGTAGCCAAAGATCAGGAATTAATTAAGCAAAGCAAATGAAAAGTGATTGTTTATTTTGGGTTAGTTATTGGTTTCTGTGTTTTGTACATAGTTTTTCGTTTCTTTAAGTAAATTAATAGTATAATAATTTATAACAATTTTATAATCAAGTCTAGTTTATAACTATCCAAATGCTGCTGTGCTTTTGATTTACAGCATATGTTATTTTAAAAAATGATTAATTTACTTCCTCCTTCAAATACGCTATGGCTTTTGCAATAAACATCATTAAATGTTCACATTTTCTTAATCTGATAAACAGTTTACTGCAATTTCAGTCACCGTGAAGTTTTCTTAATGGAAATACATTTTGTATAATCCTTTTCTAGTTTATAATATGAATCTTCCCATCATTCAAAATGTCTATTATTTTACCATTCCGTACTTTTCCCTCTTCTTGTGCTGAAAGGCTTTGACGGCATTTCGGATCTTTTGTTATTCACTGTTGTAGTAATTTAAAAATGGTAAATATTTGGTGACATTTATAAGTTGAAGCTGTACTCGAATATAATCATCGTCAACTGTAGCTTGACATATATCGCATTTGTATTACTACTAAAACGGAAATATTTATGATGGATTTTAAAAGGATTGGTTGAACTTTTCAAAAGCTATGTTGAGAGTTGATAGTTCTTTTCTGAAATCATAAATATTTTTAACATGCAAAATATTCTTTAGTCATAGTTAGTAGTACTACTGTTATTTTGTCATATTGTATTCCAAATTAACAATTACCGGTTCTTTTGTTTCTATACATTCCATTTATGATAACTGTATGTTTTTTATAAAATTTCATATTTCGTTTTTTGCTCGAAAATAATTTGAAATAACAGTTCTTGTTCTGATTCATCGGCGAATCGTACAGGAGTGAAGACTATACGATCTTCCGGGCACTTAGCAGTATTAGTACAGGATTTAACGATTTTGTCGAGTTAATCTGGATTAAAAGCCTGGTATTAGAGTGAATCATTTAAAATTATTAAAAGAAATTCCCCGTGGATGCAGACGTTCGATACATTGTTACAACTGCCTTTGTGCATAATAATTGTTCGGTCAAGTTCTCCTTTGTCTGTATCACAGTAAAGCATGATTTCTTTTTAATAAAATCTGTTCAGCGTAATACCACAGAAGGACTGAGCATGGCATTTGGGAACTGGATGAAACGTAATCATTATACAAAATTTCCGTGAATTTAAAGGAAAAGATTTAATGGATTCCAGTAGTTCTTTCGGTTTTTCTTAGACTATTCCAGACGATTCCTGAGTCCATTTTGATTTATTCCTAGTTTCGAAATTCAATAATTCATCAAACGTTGACTGGCGTCTGTTCACTTTTCCAACCTGTAGTTTATACGTGAAATGTGATTTATAAGCTTTCCCAAATTGCTTAATATTATTTTATATATCCTTGAAGAGCTACAGACAAGATCTGCATAAATCCTGAATAGCCATATGGAATCTTATCATTGTATGCGACAATCAGCATTTAATTTTGAAATCGTTTAAAGCAATCCATATTTCAGCGACAAACATTGGGAACTAATTCTTTATGATCAAGCCTCGGTAAATTCTGTTAAAATTACATTCTAATCATATCCTGATGTTCAAGATTTACATTTACATTAAAATTGAAGAGTAATATCTAACCAGATGCTCAACAAATTAAGGACATAATTCCTGAAATCAGTGAAATGACACTTGTATTAAATTTCACTTCCACTTGAAGCTACAGAGTATCACTGTCCTCCTTCACTTTCTTAGACTTTCCTTAACCACAATGAATACATAATTCATGCAACAAGTAAACACTGGATAGTATGACTAATGTGGAGGCAGGATTTTTGTAGAAAAAGTTTGATAGATAAAAAAAAAAATGATAGCCAGTGCAGGAAAATGTCCAGCACTTTCATAGCTGATTCATTGTTCACTCATTTATGATTTATCACTGCAATGTAATGAAATGGAAGAAACGAGTGCACAAATTCTTGTGTGAAAAAACCTCCTTGTACAAAAAAGTGAGTTGAGACGAAGAGTCATACAAAGTAAAGCAATTTCGGAAATATCTCGAGATTCATAAAAACTCCGTCCCACATAAATTTTAGGTCATGCATGATTTAGCATATAATGCAATACGTTAAAAGTCAATTGTAACTTTTTCTTTCACAAACAATGTTTCGATTACAATCAGATATCTGACAGATTTTTGTTTATTTTGAAGGAATTTTGATTATATGAAATGAAGGTCAGAATAGCTATGAGTTTCTAAGTATTTCTTGATTTAAAGGTCCAAAATCCCACATATTTCTGAATTACAGATTCCCGTTGCTACTATGCATCACAACTGTTTCTGTACTTTCCCCGCGATTTCTTTCGCTCGTAAAATGAACCAGACTTTTCATTGATAAAAATTGTTTTAAAAAATTATTATTACTTCGTGCATTTACTAACAATTATTTATCGGCAAACTCCATTTACTGTAAATAGCATCACTTAAGAATATAACACTACCCAAGTCTATTCCTGAGAATCATATAAATTCAAGGGTTGTGTGTGCAAATAATAGTGGAGAAAATCAGTCCTTATTTTGAAAGGTAAAATCAGGCACTCAGTCGCCAAAATTCGAGTGTTATTTTCCACTAATACTGAAGCAGTGCTTTGGAGCAGTAGAAGAAGGAAAAAAGGAAGTGAAGGGTAATTAACTGTGATGTTGGAAGCATCAGGCTTTCAGTTATTAAGTATTGGGAAGCCATGGGAATTGAAAATTTACAGTGAAAAAAGAGCTATAATTGGGAAAATTGTAATACAGAATGTGTAAGCATATGAAATTAGCTAGTAGTATGAAGTTGCTTGCAATTGACGGACTATTTCAAATATCATTGAAGGGGATTATGCACATGAAGAAATTCCGGGAGGTCTGTATAATTATTACTGATTCCTTCAGATGGATTTAATTCTTTTTCCCTCCAGATTTTAAATGTTTGATTTCGAACCTAATTAATCAGGGGATCAAAATTAACCATGCTTACTATGAAAAGTAAGTATGATTGGATTTCCGTCACCTGAAAAGTACAAAAGTCTGGGAGAGATCTGAATATCCAAACCAAAACTTCTCTCTCACCCAGGAAAAACTTGATTTAATTTGAAGGACAGTAAAAAACAAATCTATGATAACAATGTATAAAATAAATTTGGTTCCTTGATGTTTAACAGAGAGATCAACGCTTCTATCATCGAAATGAATTAAAGCTGAATCGGTTTCTACGAAAATTGTATACTGGGTTTAAACCAAATCATTACATTTAAAATATCAAAATTTAAAAGGCTTTGAGGAAAGTTCACTCAGCAAGACCTGCAATTTGTTCTGTTCGTGACAGCATGCAGTACAAGAAAATCAAATGATGATAAGCGCAAAGTTAAAAATGACGAAAAGTAATTCAGAAATTAGAAAAATTTTTGAATTTTTCCAATTAAAAAAAATTTCAAATTGGAAAATTATTGAGAAAGCATTATATGTAAAAAAAAGTGCTAATAATTGCCTAGGGATGAGATTGAATAGCACGAGTAACTGCATGATTGTTTATGGCAGTCATTTGTGAACCGACCATTACCATCGGCGGTTGTATATCGGTTGGTGCTCCTCCTTGTATCATACGACTATTCCCGTAACCCATCCTGCAAGTTTACCCAACAAATATGTTATCCAATTTTCTATCATTAGCTTTGGTAGCTGCTGTTTATTGTCAGAGCAACTGATCTGATCAGCTGATCTATCACGCATTCTCATGTAACACATCTATCCATTAGACTGTGGATGAATTTTTTGGCAATTATAGGCAAATTCACATGCTTTAATATTACCCAGTCGTCACCAATCCAAAAAAGCAATGAAATTTTTAAGTCATAAATTGTAGGAGGATATATGTGAACTGTAGAAAAAATTGCGTTGAATAATACGTGCCCATACATTTGGACAAAAATATACGATTCTTCCAGCCTCAATAAGCGGTCTAGCCATCGCTCATATTTACTAATGATTCTTCCCAGATCAATACAAACTCATCTAAGCCCGCAAAATTCTGTTAAAACTCACAGATTCACTGGTGAAGTACCATTCTGCCACACTGACTTATTGCCATCAGCCATTGCTATATTTTCTTCTTTCAATTTCAATGTACCATTTGTTCGCCTATTATTCGTCTGCAACGATCGTTTCATCAATTTCAAGATAAATTCTTTGATTAAATCTCAGCAATGTAATGCTAAGTTCGAACTCTTTAAGTAACAATTTTAGTTAAAATACAAACAGAGAACTGACGAAACTGTCATGCAGCAATATGAAACAAAAACAATAAGAACACAAAAAATGATTCATTAGTAATGAATACCTTCTTTTTTCTAACATTTTCATAAATATCTAAAAGTTAATAACTATGTCTTAAAACACTGAGCATTTGTTCATCAATTAGTAATTAATTAATAAAATGAATACTAAATTTAGCTAGCTTTTCACTATAGTACAAACAACAATGCGGACATTTTGTCCTTATAAAGGATAGTCCATTTTATGACCCTGAAATATGTAATAAATCTATTCATATGAAGAAAGATTTCCTACTAGGAAGAGTTATTTGAAGAAATTAGAATAGAGTATCTGCGATTTAGAGAAAAGTTCGAGAAGCTTTATGAATAACATTAAAAAGATCAAAGAAGGGGGAAGAGAGAAGAAAGTGTCATATTCATGGTAACTGAAGATAAGTAGCGAAAGCTTTATTAAAGCAATTAACAATGCAAAAGAATTAATTATATTAGAGTGAATCACAATTTCTTCGTGAAGGAGAGAAAAATTTGAAGAAAGGAAGACCGAACATAAAATTAGCAAGTTAAAACTACCAAGAAAATAATCATTTTAAAGTTTCAAGGAAAAAAGAAACTTACAGCGATGACAGTAAATGCTACCAATAGTACAGCTAATACACCGACAGCTATACCACCGCCAACAATATATGACGATGTATTGTCTGATGTGTAACCTTCATGTGTTCTCTCAATGTAATTCTTTGATACAAATCCTGAAAGTATTCTGTCTTTAGCTATTTGTAATATCGATAATTAAAAGCTATAATTGTTAGTAATCAATTGTTCTAATATAGTTCACTTACTCGAATATTTCTATTTGCTGAATTAAGTTTCGCTATACACTCACTAGGTTATTGGAAACAAAAGCTCTCGATTTATAGATTTCATTTCTTGAAATTTTGAAATTTCTTTTGGAAAATAAAAAAAGCACCATCAAGTATAATCGATCGCGGATCCACATCATTACCACCAATTTGTAAATTTTTGGCAGTAATTTGCTGTTCGAATTCAGTAGCCAATTGTTCCATGTCGTTAGGCTTTGTTGATGTGAATACAATACCATCTACTACCACACTGCCTTTCAAAAAGCTCACCAAATGTATTCCACCGTATATACGTCCAAATATTGATCCAAATATTTCTTCTAACTGTAGAGGGATAGTAAATACTCAAAACTTTTCTGGAATTCTGAAGACATATTTGAAAACTGCTGACACTTCCAGACTACTGCTATCACTGATATCGCCAGTGTACTGGTATAAATGCTTCTCCCATCAAATGAAAACTCTATTATCATTTGACTATTCACAATTCGCCATATATTAAGAATTCCATATTACATGAAGACATTTAGAACTCAACATTATGAGAAAATGTTAAATTAAAAAGGACGTAGGTTAATGACGCTTTCATCTTTCCATGACAGTTTCTGTCAACTTGGAGATGTAATATATTATATCATAAATTTACGTCTGGTAGAAGTTGGTCTTGCAGCTTTTTGTATTTCCCGCTATTTGGGTCACCGAATTCTGGAATATAGTCGATGCTAGTGATACGAAATGAGAATGATGTTTTGTATGTTCCTTCTTCTTCAGCTGAAAATGAAGAAATTTTTTCAAAAAAAAAAAAAAACGTGAAAAAACGATTGGAAAAGACGTGATTATAAGAAAATAAAGTAGATAAGAAAATGAAAGTAATTTTTAATTTTTCAGTGATAAGAAAACTTTCTTTCTGATAAAAAAAAAAACAACTTCATCTCATCTTTAGTAACCTCTCGTTTAAATTATATACCTTAAAAATTCTGTTCGATATTCTCTAAATCATTTCTAAAATGATGCATTTGTATAGTGGAAGAAAATCATATTTCTGATACCAATAATTTTAGTTAAAGCTAAACTTCAATGGTATGGTATCCTTGCCGTAAGCGCTTATTATAATATTAATTAGTAGGTAATCTCTTTTTCACAGACTTTTCTATTGAGTGTCTTATCGGTATTGGATTGAAAACGTTTCCAGATTATATGACCAATAATAAAGCATACTAAAATATATTATGACCCTTAGCATCAATTTCATTTCTTAACAAATAATATTCCAAACCCGTTAAGCGATGGATGCAATCGATAATCTATTAGATTTAACTGGTTCGGAAAAACGTAAATAAGCGAGAAGATAAATAGGAAACAAAAGTGGAACAAATAATTGAAAAAAACTGAAACCTACCATTATGAGAATCAGTGACATGCGCATGATGCGTGTGCAATATACCATTTAAATCATCTTCACCTGCTTTAGAACCTTAAAAATTAGAAATTTAAAATAGTGAATTTATACTTCACAGACTTAAGTATCCAGCATTCAATTTATAATTTGAAACTGTGAATTGAGTGAACTTTTCTTCAATTACCTTCAGGTAAAGCATTAAATTTCGGTCCAGCTTTTGGTTCAAAATCAATTTGCTCAAAGTTTCTTTCCGATGTTTCTAATATTTCTCTTTCTGGGAATAGCACAGGCTCAGGTTCAAGTTCTGATACTGGTTTTGGTCCTGATTGTCGTTCATCATTTACAGATTTGATTGTAGTAGCTGCTTCTTCGATATCTAAAAAATATCAACCGTTTATTTCAGAAGATGGCTAAAAATAAAAATTGTGCGAAATTCTGTTATTTAACATACTTTTCACTTTTCTATAAAGTCAGAAAAATTTAACATGAAAAACTAAGAAAAAATTAAAAAAAAGAAAACCTGTGTGATAAAAGGACTCATCAACCACAGAGATATCCTTTAACTCCCGACTATCTTCAAACAAATTCCTTGCGGTCTCAGCAGAAGTACGTTCACCTGTAGAATTCTTTCTGCTTTTTACGATTAGCATCATAACTTAATCCACCCCTATCTGTTTGTTAGTCTATTTCAAATTTCAATATTTCAAATATAAATTGCAAGAAGTGTGAAAATATAACAATTAATTGATAAAGTTTAAAATTGAAAGTTTCGAATGCTTTCAATATATCAAAAACAAATATTAAAACAATTAGGCTACGATAACAATGCGTCTAGCTGAATCTCTTCTTGTCTTCGCCTCACGAATGAAGATTTATGAAGAGACAGACACTCACATTTGAAAACCGTTGCTGGCTGAAAAGAGCAATGCAATAGGACAGCGATGCTCTGCTGCAAGGTCACATTGGGTGGTGTTCGCAAGATCTTTAAAATCAACGTGTTTATTTGTTCCAAGAGCCAGGTCCTACTTGCATCGTCAAGGAAATGAAGGGCTGAGGATGGTATACCTCCATGTCTCCCGAAAGTGAACCACTGATGTGTCCTAGGCTAAAAGATTGCTTCAACGAATTCTTGTGTCTCTTATTTGTGACATTTGTCGCCACAATAGCGGAGCTATAATCTAATGAACAAAGGCTATTGTTTTAAATGATTTTAATCCACTTTGTAACCTTAGGATCCATAAAATCCCTCCCAATTTTCTTCCTTACAAAGCTATTCATTATAGTTTCTGGTTTGGTATGACTCGGTTGGGAGATGTCTAGCTTGCTTATATCCTTAAATGTTTTATAATTAAGTTACATTTGTGTGTTATCTATCAATTCATTATTGTAATGTTGTGTAATATTTACTGTTAATCTAAGGTTTAATTACCCAAATTTGAGGTTTGAATAATAAAGTGTTTCACGAAGACTCCCACAGTACACGTACACAGAACGGAACCAGTATAAAGTCGAGATTCTACCAGTATCGAGGACAAAGAAGTCAACGATCTGAACCATCAAGAAAAGAAGCTACTTTGTTTTACAAGGAAACAGGGCAGTAAGAAAGAAATTCTAAATTTGCTTTTACAACATTGTTCTGTGATTCACTACAAGCCGAAGGGTGACTTGCCCAGCATAGCTGTATCCCCCCCGCTTATCCGAGGACAGTATTGAGCACAGAGTCAACAAACTGAATGTTTAAGAGAGTGTAGAAGCGACGCTGATGATGGCAGATGACTCATGATTCGGATTCGTACGAAAGAGCAAGCAGTGAGCCCATGCTTTTATGAATAGAATAATCGAACTGTGATAATGACTGATGCAGAACATTTTCATAGAAGGAAGGAAGTTAAAGTGCAAGAAGGTTTCTGAGGTCTTTCAGTCATCTGACACTTAGTAGACTGTGTCATATGATCTGTACGATATCGAATATCGTTCTGTTTATCGAGGTCTGCGTGACTCTTTGAAGTATCATGATAAAGAATGGTTTGAATAAGCAGCGTAGAAAGTGATCTTGTTTCGAGGAATCTAGAGGAAAAAATTCTATTCGTTTCAATATTTATTATAAGCCTTCTATATTAAAAATAGATATTGTAACAATTAGGATGATAATAGATATCTAGTTTCCACTTATGATAATGGATATTTATCCTCTGTTTTAAAAGATTCTGACTGATCTAAAGGATTGATACTCCGAGTGGTCAGAGAATTTAAGCCTTCTAAATTTTAAATAAATTGTAGCAATTTGAAAAAACTCACCATTATGATGTCCATTGAGTTGATGAAAGTTTTCAGTTAAATCAACTGATATATCTGTTCGTACCTGCAACAATTCATTCAGTCTTCATTTCATTGATTTAACTGAAAACTTTTTTGACTTGTCTATCAACAGATACTTTACAAAAGTTAGATTTTCTACCGTATATAACTTCTATATAATTGCTTATTTTTAATTGGTTCTCTCAGCTAACGTTTTTTCATTATTTTTCTTTGATTCTATAGAAAAGAAAAAATTTTAATTTCTTTTCATTGAATTCATTTTCAAATTTGGACAGAAGCAAACAAAAACAAAGATAAAGGACAGTTGGCGGTTTAAAAAATAAATTTTGTAATTAAACGTAAAAATCTGATTTTCTTCCAATAACCAATAAGAAGAAGTGATGAAAAATGCACACCTTAGATTCAATGTTAGGTGACTGTACAGTTGATGGATGGAGGGTTACCTGAAATGTAGCAAATAATCAATTTGTATTTTGTTCATGCGACAATTTTCATCGCCTTTATCTGAAACTTCTACACTCATTAAACTTGCATTTGAATTATTACTTGGAGCACAACACCCAAAACCTAAATGAATGAAAAAAAAAAAAAAACGAAGAACATTTAGATGAATTAAGTTTCCTTTCTTAAAGATCAAAATAAACTTATAATCGGATAAGTTAGATTTGTGAAAGACTATTTCAGAACAACTTTACTTATTCCCTTTGCAAACTACTTCCAATTACAATTGAAATAAGAGATACTGTAAAACTCAATATCTGCAAATATTTGAAGTTAGTTGAAGGTTCGATCAGTAACTGAAGTTTTATATGTGATAAACTTCTTAAATGTCATGATCCTTATTCAAGCCACAAACAAATAATACTACCGCTTCATGGATTTCTTCCGTAGCTTCTGGCCCTAATCCTTCCACACGTGAAAACCCAGGCACGCCGAAGTTCTCCTCGGGCGTCTGAAAATTATGAATATATTTCTGCTCTTTAAACATTACATATATTAGAATGTGGAATATCTATTCCTTGAAGTTTCACTTACGTAAATTATAGACGGCTGGTTTTAAATTTTGCAAACTTTTTCAATTCTCACCTAGATTACATCTTTAAAAAAAATTTTTTTCGATCATTTAGACACATATCTGCAAAAAAAAATACATACAAAAAAAAAATACATATTCACATATTTGCAAAAAAAAAAACAAAATAATTGTGATTAACCAGTAGACTACGAGAAACCCAAAAGTTCAAAAAATTTTGTATGTGCATATTTTGTTCAGTTGCTCAGCCGCAAAAAAAAAAAATTGGTATTTTTGCAAATATGTGACAACTAATGATGATTGGTTTAATTAGAAAATGTAAACAAAATGTTCCCAAAGTTCTCATTCAGTCAAAAAAAAAAAAAAAAAATTAAAGAAGAAGCATTCAAAATCATATCATTTAATTTAAATACCTCAGAATGTTATTCACCAGTAATATTATAAATTATGAAAGAGTAAATTTTGAATGAGAAAGAATGTTAGCAAAATGATTAGACACAGCAATAATTTTCACTTTCAGGCTATTAATTTTTCTACCATTTGTTCATGCAATGTGCACTATTATTCAGGATTAATGTCAAATATCAATATATCTATCCAAGTGGAATGTTATAGATCACTTGAAAAAAGTTTATGATCTCAGCCTTTAATTCACCTTGTCCAGTCCGTCCACTTGTTACATGTTCATAATTTAGATATATTTATTAATGTTTCATTCATTCCATTCATTTTAGCCAACTAAACAAGAAAGTGGTTCCGGAATCAACTTGCTTGAGCTGCAGTGATGGATCCAGTAACTGAATACTTGTCACTGAAATTTGATTTCATGACGCCATCTTGGCTGAATAATGTTTTATCTCCAACAAACAGACTCTCATCATCATGTCCATGCTCATGTTCATCACCTTGTTCTTCTCGGATGCTGGCCGTATTGAACTTATTTGTTGTTGTTGGAGGCAACTTAAAACAAACATTTTGACAAGTTTTTCATTTTCATTAAGTCTTGAACATTAATATTAATATAATTTTATAGGAGTATTTAAAGAATGGGAAGAATGCGATTCAGTTTATATTTTCTACTCCGGTGTTAACATTTTTATCTCAAAAAAAATTATTTTTAAAAATTATCAAATCAAATAATCACCTCTTTTCGTATTTCCGATTGTTGTTTTATTCCAACAGATGGTGTTGCGACTGATTCTGTTAGAAATGCATCAGCTGAAGGTTGGAAGAGAGATGAGTGAGTGAATACTTCTGATACAGTTATTGATGGTGATTCAGTTACTGAAATAAATAAAAATTTAGAAATGTCCATACTGTAATTTGCTAATCAATTCTTGCAAAATATTGAAAAAAATTGTGACACCTGGAGAAGTGAGGTGTTTTTCAGACTCCCGCAACATGTTAACAAAGGTATTTTCATCCGCCATAATTTGTCTGATCGTTGTTGACTGCTCATTAGTTCCTGCACTAAATGTATTTGTTGCGATCGAATGCAATACTGGAATTCTTCGGAGGATTCAATTTTAAAACTTCTGATTTTTAGATAAAATAATATAGTCATAAAAAAGATAGTCTTATTTTTTAAGTTTTAAGACAAATAGACTGAAAAAGACATTATTATCAATCAATATTTTATGTTATCATGAAAGAAATGATAAGATATTGTATAGGAACAAGGTTTACCTGCAGACTGCTCTACTGGCGTAAGGATAGCCGTGGTAGTGTGCAAGATGTCTGACGCTGTTTCCAGAATTAATGCTGAAATGACTAGCTTTCATAAAGAAACAAATTTTTAAACTTGAATAAATGACAGAACTTAAATAGACTGAATTTTAGCTACTTTTTGAAAGAAATAAATTCCCAAATTCCCTGCTTTTCAATTTCAGAGACTGGAACTATCACTTTCGTACTGCGCTAAACTTTGGCTCCCTCAGTTATTACAAGTCACATGAAGGGGATTGTGATTAAATATAGCAATTTCAATAACAAACTTCCAAAAGTAGCCATTGTATAAGAAGCGCTGCTTTTGTTGTCTTCCTCAGGTATGTTGATTTTTGTTTCTGACTCCATTGTAGTTTCATCTGTTGTTTTTGTAGCAACCATTCCTTGCTCAGGTTTTAATGACGATGAAGGTGCACTAAATGTCCTCATCACAGCATTAATATCAACAATCTTATCAAGCACACTTGTCTGCTTCATTTCCACTGCTTCACTTGATATATCACCAGAATTACTCAGAAAAGTGGGACCAGCTTGCATATTTATCTTTGAACTGGAATTATTCTGAATCATATGACGAATATTTAACTGTGAAGTTGATGGTACTGAAATTGCTGATTCTCCAGTACTTGCTGTTGCAAACGGATCTGCTGCTCTGACCTAGAAAAATTGCAGTAAGAATATTAAAAAGTTAAAATATGGAGTAAAATTTCGGTCCCATGATAAACAGTTTTGTTTATTAGAAGAAAAGAAGTGAAGCATTTCCGGTGTTCGAGAAATGCCACTGATTTCGCTTTTTCTTTTCGAATAAGTTACCGAACTTGCTCTAGCAAGATAACCTTAGTATTAATCAGTTGTCATTCATTTGTCTTTTTTTTGTCGGATATTCAATGCAAACGAATGAATATCGCAAAAGTAGATTCAGAGAGATGATTATATCGTGCAGTCTTGCATGCATGAAATATGTAACGTTGATGGTTGAAATTTTCTAATTTATTCGAAACAATGAATTGTTTCAATGAATTCAAAAATTTTTTAACAAAAGAAATGGGTCAAAGTTAATTTCTCAAGTCATTTCACAGTCCTTTTTTTGCCATTCAAGTGTGTGACACTAAGAGAAGCGTTGGATGACACTGGAAAACAAATAGTTGACATTAGCTTTCATTCTTTTTTACTGCATCTCATTAAGGATAACAAAAAAAAGTGTAAAAATTATATCGTGCAGTCTTGCATATTATAGTCGTATGCTTCGTACTTTTAACAGAATGAAGAAAAGAAGAATTTCAAAAAATTCAAGAAATTCTAAATTAAGAACGACACCTTCCTGCTATTTACTCCTTTTGCTGACAAGTTAAAAAATTGAGATGGGCTTTTTCAAAAGTTGCTTTATGAATTGACTCATTACTGATAGCGTTCCGATAATAGATTTTTCTTTTTACCAAAAAATAGGACTTCGATGAAAATAACAATTCAAAATTTAATTTTTCTTAATTTCATTATTCTAATGAATCCAGAAATTTTTTAATAAAACAAGAGCCACTTGGATTTCATTTTTCAAAACTTTTTATACTGAATGCACTGAAAATTGAAATTTAAAACCAATATTTGGAGAATGAACAACAGTAATTTCGATAAAAAGCAATAATTACCACTATCATTAAAAATTTTAAACATTTCGACAAAAAAGAAGACATTAAAATCTTAAACTCGCAATTAATACCTCTGGAGGCAATGTGTCCTCTTCTTTTTTGATGTATCCTGGCATTTCAGTGATAACAGCAGTTTCATTAATTACTGACAAACTTACTTCTGATATTTCAGTAAAACCCAAAAGTGATGTTTCCTTTGCTTCATAATTATTTTTTTTCCTATAAAAATATCAGTTAACATAAGCGAGACAAAAAATGACAGATATTTTCAAATTTTTTTTTTAACTTCTTATTTTCTGTGTTCTGTTATTTTCAATTAAACACTTAAATGATCGTTTAGTAAAAATTCAAGGAAAAAAATTTTGAAAAACAAATTTAATAATTGAGAAAAAATTCACAGCTTCATTGAAGGAAGCTATAAATGATATTTTTCAAGAATTTTAGAATTTTAAAGAGACCTATAGACTCTTATTTCGTAAATTCTGAAAAACTCAAGCAAGCTTATATCAAGCAATTACATGCAGTAATATGGTAAATAAAATCTAGTAATGTAAGGGAAATTTAAAACTTTTAAAAATATATGAAAAATTGTAAGTTCCCAATACGTTTCATTTCGGAAAACTATGAAGATATTTTCTGCTTTTATCGTCTATTAATGTTGCATAATAGAATAATTATTATTTACAACTTATTTACCTTATAATTTATGATCTCACTTCAATAACTATTGAGGTCCTTATGACAAAAAGTAGAATTTTAAAACGAGGAATAAGTTATAGGCAATTGTTAGATTATTTTATCACAGATATGGAACTTACGGTATAAAGCAATCGTTAGATTATTTTATCACAGATATGGAACTTACGGTATAAAGCCGACTGAGAAAAGTTTGTCACGTCTATCCTGTCATTAATTTTTAATGTTAAACGCATGGGCAAGTTCTCATTTCGTAATTGTTGCACGGTTTATTTACTAAAGTATTTCTCAGGTAATCTCGGACTTTGGAATGTGCCAAGTTCATCGGTCTGATGACAAAATGAAAAGAAACAATTTTTCTACTACTCAGTCGTACCTAAGAGCGGTAAGGCTAATGTAAGGATTAAACCAAGGAAAGGAAAGCAGTACTGGAAGACTTGGAATTACATGACATGCTGACCAAATGTTGAACGAACTATTGATTGGGACAGATGCAGGAAGAACCTTTTGATATCATAAAAGAAAGTTATTTGATAAAAGAATAAACCGAAGTATTGGATATTTGAAAAGGGAGGAAAAAATTTATTGAAGAGTTGCCGAGCTGTAGATAAATCTTTACAGCTTGGAGAATATGACTAAAAGCTCATAATTTTTTCTTTTTCCCTTTCTGTGGTTTGAAATTTTTTATGATTTTAATAATTTCAAAAGCTTTATAGTTGAAAATTCTGAACTTACTCTTCTTGCGTTGCATTTTCGTAGTTAATATGATCAGATTGCGCCTCAATAGTTGCAACGAGATTGATTTCACTAATAAATGGCGATGGTGATGATGAAGGTTCTTGTTCATAAATTGCAGTTTTTGAAGCGCCTAGCTCTCGAGCTCTCTTAATTTCGGGAAAAAGAAATCCTCTTTCTCGAGGTGCAATAGTTTCCGCTAAGTTCTGAATAAAAAAGCTTGGCTCAAGTGGTAGTAAAGTGGTTTCTAATTCTGACTTAAATTTTAGCTGTATAGGTCGCAATGATAATAGCGTTGACGACAATAATTCCTCTTCCACTGTACTATTTTCGAGTTCAGCATTCAGAGTAGTAGCTGCAATGTGGAAGAAATTTGTCTTTGGCTCAAAAATTTCTGCAAGCAATACTAAAATTGCGTTGCTACAATATCTTAGGAGGAAAAAATGTAACAAATTGAAGGCAACAGTTGAATTTTTGATATTCAAAAATTGCAAATTTGGTTGGAAGAATAAGTTACCTGAAAAAAGACAGACCAACAAGTGAATCAAAATTTCATGTCGCATCCTTTTCTTCTTCCTTTCCAAACTTCTCACTTATCCTTACACTCTCACTTCTAGATTGCTAGAAATTATTTAAGCAGAAAATCCTGTAAATATGAAATTAAAATGGAACCCTTAAAATGAAACGAATTCCACTAGCGTTTTTCAAATCAACATTGCTTCAATAATCAATAAGCAACAGGTTACAAAATATTCACGTCAAAAAGTAAAACAGTAAATTGTTTCTAACTTCATCAGTATGAAAGAATGAAATTTTCGGTACAAATCAAATTTTTTTTTTTTCGGTACTTTTGAGCTAAGTTTCTCAAAAGTGCTGTCATTTTAGCATTGCAGAAATTTCTAAGCAGAAATTATGCCGGTATAAATTTTTCATCATTATTAAACAGTTAAGAACAAAATCGGAAAAGTCTCAAGCATTTTTTTAAATAGTCAAGTGAATAAATATCGTATAGAAATTGTCAAAAAAAGAAGAGTAAAATGGATATTTTAGGAGTAAGCTAAGAGATAATGCTTCTGTACAGATAGTATTTGAAGCAAACGATACTTAACAAATTTTAAATGACAATGGGCTGGAGGCTGGATAAAGTGGAAAGAAAAACATAAATGGTTATCCGTGCTACAAAGTGGTTTGAAATTTAACACCCTGCGAACACAAAAAGCAACAAATTTGTTTATGTGTGAATAGGGAGAACATACATGGGAACTTTCTTGATATGTAGCATCCGTGTTGGTACGGGAATCAATTATTCCGGATATTTGCCGAAATGCGGGCAATAGAATAAAGATAATGCTATAGCGATCGCGAGAGCGATTTCTGCTTCCTATCTTTAAGTAATTCAGTTGAGTAAGTTCTCATGCTTTCATCCAAGTGAATGTTTATTTGATGTTTCTGGAAGTGAATAGAGACGGAACTCGTACTTTAATTTCGAATTCAAACAAGTTTTGATAAGTGTCTTTTTTGTTAAACAAAAAAGTAATTTGTTAATTTTTTCCGAGTTTCAAATTGGTTTTGGATGAAAAATTTATTGTTGTTAGTAAAACAAATGTTTCATGATCAATGGACAGTTACAAATGTCCATCATGTAAACAGGCATTTAGTGAACGGTGTGAAATTAAACATCTTATTATATCTTATGAATAAGAGAGGTTGTTGGGACAATGTTGACAGTGTAGAAATGTAATTTATTGATAATGAACTTGTCCTTAAAAAAAAAGAAAACTTTGAACCAGTGATAACTATTACTGATATATTCTGGTAAGAATGCAAAGAAAGCTAGGGTTAGTTATGAAGTATATGGTGTTGTCAGCATGGATTTACCCACAAAGATATCATATTTATGAATCTAAAATTAATGTTATCTGAACAGATTTTTAGATGCACTTTTAATTATGACTTCTTTAAAACATAATTATTCTTACAAAAAAAAAATTATAAAATTGAATGATTAATTGAGGAATGAAGGAAAAAATTCCATTCTATAACAGTGATAACTGTTAACGTTTGTGAAATAGCGCCACTAAGGAGTACTTTGGGAATGGGTAAATTTGCAAAAAGAATTTAGAAAATTTTGAATTTCATCACCAAATACAGCTCAAAAACCAGTTTTCATTATTGTCGATAAGGCATAGAATGACCGACCTTCCTCGTTCGTATGTTACCTAATCAACAGGATGATAAAAAAAGTGTTTCGAATCAGCCGCTGAGCGCAAATTTGTGAAAGTCTTGAAATTCGGTAGGCGAAAATGTTCATTTGCTTGTATATTTATTTAAATATTTGTGTATGATTTATTTTTAACTTTAAAAGAGAAGAATGGATAGAAAACTAAAAAGATTCTCATTTTCTCCTATTTCCAATCATGCTTTTTTTAGAAAGTTGGAAAAATTCCTATTTTCAAATCCTCAGTTGCGATGATTCAAATAACTTTTTCAAGAAAAGCTAAGAATTTGACCTAAAGTTTTTGAATAAATAAAAAGAACTGGTTGAATTCTCTTAAACATCACTCATTATTAAAAGCTTAGAATTCGTATAAAACTACATATAGTGCTAAAATATTATAAAATAAAGAGAAGTTAAATTGAAGTAGATAGCTGCGTAATCACATTCAAAACATTACTTGTAAGGGTAGGAAGACAATAGTTTCGCCTTTGTGAGAAGTTTGAAACCCGAAAGGTACTGAAATTGATGACATGAGAGTTCTTAACATGAAGTAACAATGCTAAATATAGACTGAGAACTCCTAGTATTTCAACTTCAGCACATATTCGTTTAATCAAATCTTAAAATGGATGAAATTGTTTTGTGAGGAATTTTCCATCTATGCAATGAAAAATGGTTCATATAAAAAAAAAAGTGGAAGAAATAGAACGTTAGAATTATGGAGATAAATTTAAAACTCGAAATGGCAAAATGGAAAGGTAAGTAAGTCATTGGAAACGTCAGTAGCAATGTATGACAAAAACCGCCATCCATCTGCATTATCACCCTGTTCAAGGATCATTTGGTTGTTCAAATGGTACATTACTATTAGGGAAAGGTTGAAAAAATATTTTTTCACTTATTTTTAAATAAAGACATTTCTCATATTGGATGAGAAAAAAAGTAACATTTTAGGAGTAAATAACAAAAATGATAGAGTAAGCGAGCTTTTTTTTGTTGAGATATCAATATTACTATGCAACCGCTACTAGCTGAGGAAATTGTAGCCTTTCTAGAAAATTTCGGCAGCAGAGTTTTTTGTACCTTAATTTCATTTAAGGAATAGTTAGTTTGGTACAAAATAAATTTAAAAAAAAATTAACAACCACGATTTTGCCATGAAAAGTGTGTTAGTAAAAGTATACAAACAAGTTCGAACGAGAAAGTAATTAAGAGTGCAAAAATTTTCTTTACACAGTATTGGTGACTTGAAAAAGAAGTCAAGCTAAAACCGATTTATATATTTAGTCATTTGGAATAAGAAGAAATAACTTTGAATATTATAAACAGTAGAAAGCAATATGGTACAAATCAAGCACTGAGTTTAACTGATAATAACTGATTAATTTTGTAGAATCTAAGTTTTACTTCAAGATCATTTGAAAACTTTTCAATTATAAAGTTTCTTTCTGAAAATTATGCCAAATATTGACGTTTTTGAAGAAAATTGAATGTAGTGAGAAATGAAATGCTATAATCTAATAGCAAAAACAAACAGCTTTAATACCTCAAATATACTCAAATATACTGCTTGCGAATAATTTATGTTGTATTAGTGATAAATATACTGTCAATCACTAATATAAAATTATTATTAGCTTAATATGTTATGTATTCCATCATTTAATTGCAAGTATAATTAAGTATTCAAGCATCCGTTAAAGAAGTTTCTTGAAGAGTTTTAGTAAATTGACTCTAGAAATTTAAATAATAAATTTACATGCTTAGAAATCTTAACATCTTTATTATCGCTCCTAATTTTTTTAGTCTAAACACTTTGTATAAAACAAAATTAAAAATCTGACACTGCTGAGAAAATAAACTCGGAATTTGCAATTAGAAGAAATTATATTGGAAATCGTTTAACTGATAATCCACTGAATTATTGCACTGAGCGAAATGAAAAGTGACTTCTTGGTAGGTTGTCAGCTGAATATATGGTGGATAAGTGAGAAGATTTTAAAGAATCATGGAGAACCTATATCTTATAGAATTTGACATATATTTGTCATTTTAACAATAAATATATCCTTATTTAACTTTTTATCACTACCGATATCTACGGTTGGATCAAATTAAGAGCCGCAAATAGTAATATTCCGCAATGCGCAAACAGCACAATTTTCTGTAGAAAATATTTCGATTATTATAAAAAACTTTAAATAGTAAGAATTTATGCACGAAAATACTTTTGCAATGTATGAAGTTGGAAAAAGGTGATTGAGTAGGAAAGAAAGATAGCATAATGATGTTAATTTTTCTGATCAATATTGATGAAATCAAGAAAGGTGATTTAGTTTGAAGGGGAATGAAACACGATTTGGTGAAATCTTTTTCTCATACTTCATCTTTTCTTGATAGGAGGAAGATTTTATCGCTGTTTTGAATCATTACTACGATGATCGCAACGAGACATAACGAGAGATTGGAATGAAGGATCTTTGGGAAATAAGAAAGGTGATAAGAGCAGGTTGAGATCTCAGAATTTATCTTATTAAGCGTGATTCAGGTCACAAACGAGCATAAGATGGAGATTGACCTTTCACTTTTTGTGATGATAAATAATATTAACGATGAAAAGAATATTTGGTTATGTCGTCAAAACCAGTTAAAAATTTGCTATATGATACCTTTTATGAAGCAAATATCAGCTGACATCAATAATAGGTCATCAAGTGAAACTTTGAAGAAAATTTTTCTTATGATTATAAGACCCATTTCTTCGGATAAAAGAACCTGAAATTAATTTGAAGTGTAAAATTTGCTACGAGGAACTGGAATTCAAGTAAGAATATAAACAGAATAAGGAGTTAATAATAGGATAAAGTTATCAGATGCACAAGAGACGATATAACACTATTCCATCTTGTGTTCATCAAGCTTTCTTTCTTTGTCACCATTCATCGAAAGGTGTTTATCTCAGTTTGTTTCTTTTGTTCAGTGACGTCAATAGAGATTCGGGATAATGTTTTATGCAACAACCTGCTTGTTGAATGAATGAGTTGAGTAACTTTGACAAGTAATCTCGACGAAGTAACAAGAAATTCAGTAAGTCTAGATAAAGTAGTGATGAGCACTGAACCTATACCGAGAAGCACTGATCTCTCACTCTTCTATAATAAGGCACACTGTCGTAGCTAATTTACGCTGACCGATATGCAAGGGATTTTCATTGAAGAAAGAAAACAACAGATTTCCAGTAATTCCATTATTTATTTCCCTTCAGTAAATTATCCATCCAATTGCGCTATTCCGCAACAGTCAAATGAAATTTCTTTTCTCTTATGCATTGCTATATTATGCTTC